TAATACAACAAACATTATAATGTTGTCATTGGCTGCAAAATTACTTCTTTCACAACAAAATCATAAGTGTACAGAGCATTATTATTTACCTACTTAAACATTACTTGATTGACTCTGACAACATATTGATAGTGTAAAATAGTTAAACTTAAAGATTTTCAATGTTTGGATACGAAAAAATTAAATTTTATAAATCTRTAATTAATATTTTAAGTCTTGAAAGAGGACTATTATCTAAACTATAAAAAAATTACTACCTWAATTTCACTAAAACTGTCAAAACCCCTGAAATATGAGTTTGTGTCATCTTAATTAAATAATAAATTGTTTACCGCACAAATAAAATAATATTCACCTACTTATCTASCTATTTATAGTACCTATACAGCAATACAAATTATAATTTGATAATATAATGTATGGTCTCTATGAGAAATGTCAAGTACGCATCCGTAACTTGATCRGATACGACTGGAAAACATACTTAAAAGTAAAACGATCAGATTTACACTCCGAACGACGTACGATCAGGTCAGTTTGAGGTGGTATATCTATATTTCTTCAGTACTGTGTTGACTGATATAACTAACTTTTGTTTCGCTTATGTATAGTGGTGTGAAGACTAAAAYTTTCGTAGGTATATTATCCGATAATGAATTGTATTTTTTGTCACTTTTACGCGTTATGTTGTTATAATAATATATTAGTATTATATAACTAAATAGGTAAAAGATTTTGTGCACTTTGAACTATAATTATAAATTAAATTGAATCCGAAAAACGGCATTGAACGAACCTTAGTAAAACTACACGGTTGTTCAATTTTATTTTTTATTCAAACAATTTTTTAATGCAATTGGCTTAAATGGCATTGAATATCTAAGACATRATCCCTTAAATTTCAATTGCTGAACCAAACAACCCAAACTAATGCAAGTAGTCCTAGGACATTTGCACCGTTTAAATATTTCATATTTATAATCTAAAACCTACAATACTATATATGTACGTGAGTACCTACTACCTACTATCAAAAATAGTACAATAAATTCAAATATATATTTTTATGATACTCATATCCCCCTCCCCCAATAAAAATATCTGCAGTGTTATAACTAAATTAAATTAATATTGAAATAATTGTTTTATTTGAATAATGTATTCATATCCATGCCAAAATAAATATTGATTAGTAAATAAAGTAAATGTAAATTTACTAGTATTCAATCAAAATTTCATGTTTTATAAAATACGAAACGAATTTTATACGTATTACGTAATACCTACCCATTTAGTTTTCATGACAGAATGTAGCTGCAAGTTACAACACGCAGAGTTATTAAACAATAAAAAGTTATTAAAAATAGCATTCATTGGGTATCGTTTCAATATTTTTGATGTATTCCAACATGGATACTGGATAGTATAGATTTAGAGCTAATAAGATATTATTTTAAATATTAATATTATTCTGTGAGAAAAATATTTTACAGCTTGTGCACAAAAATCTTACAACCTAGCACGTGATAATAGCTATGTAATACATACTCGTACTATTATTACGATTAATCAATAATGTTTGTTTTATTTTTATTATGTATTAGTTACCTACTAGATCGATTARAAGTTAATCTCGATTTGATTTATTTAACTTCTTACATCTTAGTTGATATACTAAAAAAATTGAACACCTAACTGAGATATTATGCTATTAATTAGTAAATACGCATTATATTAAATTAATGACGATTGCAATTTTTTTCGATATTCCTGACCATTCTACTGGTACGTTTCCGGTTCTTGCCTTACATTAGACATTTTTGTATATTTATTTTTTAAATATGTAATATATGTACAGCAAAACACCCATACTACGAAACCTATTATGAACAACAAACAAGAGACCAAATTATGGTAAAGATTATAGTGAATTTCAATAAATAGAGTTAAATAAATTTGGTTTGGTTTGGTTCTCAAAATCATTTCATTAATTTGCTAAATTAAAGTTCGTTTTATGGAAATTTTACTGTAGTATATTCAAAAAAAATATAGTTTTATTTGTTTCACAACAACCACTGATTTTTATTCCAAAGACTTGTTCAGTTTAATACTGAATCACTTGAACTGTGAAAATAGTTACATAAATATTTTAATATGAATACCTAATTGAAATATGCCATTAATGATTACGTAGGTTTCTACTAGTTGTATTGATTCTCGTAAATTTTTGATTTTCCTGACCTTTAGCGAATTGATCTACATTTGCCACATTTAAATTTTTGTTTTAAATGTAATAATACGTACTTCATTATTAAATGAGATTATTTTACGTTTTTCTTAAAAAATAAAAATCACTGACTATCGTGTTCTTATATTTTTAATAATTTCAATATTCGTAATATTAATTAATTGATAACCAATGAAATAATTTCGTTTTGAATAACAAAACCATTTCAAAGATATGTATTTTCGAAATAGTGCAAAAGAGTCTTACATACCAGTGCGTAATAATCTCCACATCATATTTGCCATTATTATGAGTAATGTTTGTTTTATTTTTAYTATTCATTTTAAATCGATTAAAAGTAATCCACAATTTAATTTGTTTTTCACTCATAATTTATAGGTAGATACTAATTAGGAAATATTATAATATGATATATCATATAAATTTGAATACATATGCCATATTTTAATTAACACATACCGATTTACCAAAGACCTAATTAACAATTATTGATGTTCATTTATTTTTTAATATTCTTGATAAGTTTTTTYCCCTAAATTTTCTTTTGGGTATAACATTATTAGACATTTAGTTTTTCAAATATTATATTTATTTCTAAAAAACATCTGATGTGATTTTTGAATATTATTATTCTGTGCTAATATCAAAATCCCGTCGTAAATATTTTCAAACTT